CACCAAAAAATGTAATTATGGCCATAAATAATCTGATTTCCAAACCAGTGAGTATTTGAGCAAATAACATAAGAAAACTAAGAGTGCCAATTTTTTCTCTTAGAATTTCAACACTATACAAAATAAAGAATACAGTCAACATTATATAATAAATCTTAGAAAGTCATGACCATACTGGGCATACAGCTATTCAACTGAACATTAATCACACCATTCACCTTACAAAGGAAAAAAACCCCAAAGTCAAAAAACTCACTTTATATAGTATCTTGCACCTTCAAAAGTATATGCTTCTTCCCAGCCAGTAGGCAAATCTAAAAAACATACATATAAATAATATTACTTCAGTGAGATAGCAAAACAAGTCTCAATCCATTTTAATTATTCATTTTCATGATTAGCTATTTTAGTAGGTTCCTAACAAAGTGTAGGTCAAGCAATCAAATTAATAGCTGATACATTTTTTAAAAATGGCAGTTCAAATTTAAAGTCACCAGACAGGAACCAACAATATTACAGATTACATAACACGATTATACATTCTAATGATCAGGATGGAGAGAAACTATGCTCTGGCACCCCCCCAAAAGCGAAAGGAAGCCTTCTAAATCCAAGGTAAAATACCTAGGAATACTTGGCAAAAAGCCAAACTCTGCATAAGAGGCAACATCTGCCTCTTGGGAATACTGTGTCTATTTAAAACCATTTTTCTAGCTACATAAATGAATCTATCTAGGAATTGCCATTGCTGAGAAGGAAGAACTTGCTAAGTATTTATCAGAAAAGAAATCTGACACCAAATTCTTCTGTGTGTTACTATATGCTTGAGTCTTGACATTAAGAAATATGAAGTTCCAAGTAATAACTTGGAAATGATTCAGGCGACCAATGATATCTTTACGTGCTACACAATACTTATGAATGACAAAGTGGTTTGGATTTAATCATAATACCTCTCTGAAATAAAAAGCCCTTGATAAGTGTAGAAAATCACAGAATCCAAGCAAAGTACATCAAACCAGAATTAAAAAAATATGAAATCACGTTAAGAAAATAAAATTTGCCTGTGGTGTGAATGTTTATCAAATCTGTGTGTGTGGGGGGGGTGATTAAGACCCATAGTTATATTAAACATAACCAAAATAAGCATTAAATAATTCCATAGGACAATCAGGCTCATTTAAACACCACAGTGTCTTTCATGAAATCAATTTGTTACTATCCACAAAAGCAAAAAAAAGAAAAAAACCATCAAAGTAAACTATGTATGCAAAACACCAGAAAGGTATATTGAAGCAAAAGACGGCACCGGGGAATTAAGAGAAATGACGGTGTATTAGTCAGAAATGTCTTTAAAAATGTAACCTCATCATGCTTGCTACACCAGCCTTCCCTTTCCTCCTCCACCTTTTTGCAAATTTGGAGACATTAGTCACTTCCACCGAACTCCAGCATTTAATATAAAAGCAGGTTTGTTCAACATCCTGGCAACTTCGATCCCAGAATCTCAGACTTGGAGAGAAAGTAACCTGGAGGACTGACTGCTCTGCTCTTCAGAGAAAGCTCTGAAGGACTGCTGAAACTGGCCTCACCTTCCATCCAAACTGTTCTCAAGCCTTTCCAACCACCAGAAATAGAGGCAGGCCAGTCTGGGAACACATGTTCCATTTCAAAGACAAACAAGTTTCACAAATGTAAACAAAGAATGACAAAAGAAAGCCAGACCAGCACTTAAACTACAAGGAGCCCTTCTCCAGCTCAAGTCACATTTAGCATTCAAATAAGCTACCAATGCCACCAGGCGGATCCGTGTCCCCGCCAGCCCCCTCCTATGGGCCCACGTGCACACTCTCGGGACACCCCCTCGCACGCCCACCGCCTCCTGGCCGTCGGTGCAACCTCGGTGCCGCTGCCGGGGACTTTGAATCCGTATCGCCAGCAACTGCGGCTGGGAATGCCTCCTCCGGCTCCGGCTGCTCCGCCCGTGGCAGAGGGAACGCGCCAAGCGTTTCCCGAGCTGTTCCCTGTCACAGAGAGGATCACAGCACCCCCGGACTCCTCTCCTCCTCAATCAGCCACCTACCCACAAGTCCCACCTAGCAGGAGGGGGAGGCAGCCCTCCCTGGAGGGGGACGAGATGTGCAGACGTTAGCCCGGCGGGCGAGCGGCAGGGTCCCGGGGCTACAGGAGGGCAGTGGGGAAGGGCTCCCTAAAGGCTGCTGGGGGTTGGGGGGCTGGAAGCTGCGGGGTGCGGGGGAAATTAGGAGCGGCCGCGGACGCAGAACTCAGGATTTCAGGTCTCCCCGAGGGGAGAATGGGCCGCCCGAGGGGCCCGGGAGCCGTCCAGGTTGGGATGGGGGAAAGGGCGCAGGAAGAGGGCGCCGTCTCCCAACGGCGAAGAAAGGCAGCCGAGAAAGAGGCGCCCAGGGACCGGATAAACTCCCGGCGCGGAGCCCCCGCGGCCGCTCTACCTGCGGCCGCCCCCGCCGGCCTCCGCCCCGCCTCGCCGCCTCCCGGGGCCCGCGGCTCGGGGCAGGTTGCCGGGCGGCCCGGGCTCTGCCGCCTCCTCCCGGCCAAGCCCAACTCCTCTCGGCCGGCGGGGCTCGGCGTTACCTGTGCTCTGCCGCCGGTGTCCGGTGACCACGGCCTCGCCGGTGACGGGGTGCAGCCAGGTGGTGCTCTTGGCCTCCTCGCTGCAGGGGTGAGAGAAGGGGCAGAGAGCGAGCGTGAGTGGGGACGCGCGGGCAAGCCGAGGGGCTGCAGGGGCACGGACCCCGGCGCTCCCTCCAGCTCTCGCCGGCCTCCCGCCCCCGCCCGGCCCCCGCGCCGTCGCCGGCTCTTTACTTGATGAAGAAGACTCGGCCGCCCCTGGTGATCCCGTAAGTCCAGGACCGGGGCAGGGAGCAGATCCACTCCAGGTTCAGATCCGCCGCCATGTCTGATCCCCAGCCGCCGCCGCCTTCTCCTGCTGCCGCCGCGGCTGCCGAGGGAGGAGGGAGCGAGCGAGC